TCTGCTACATTTCCTCAGGCAAGGGAAACAAAATAAATAAATAAATAAATAAACAAATGAGACTACATTAAACTAAAAAGCTTTTGCGCAACAAAATGGAAAGATGACCCACTGAGTGGGAGAACATATTCGTCAATGATGTATCTGATAAAGGATTAATATCCAAAAATGTATAAAGAACTTAGAAAATTCACAATAAGAAAAAACTAACCATTCAATCAAAAAATGGACAAAGGACCTAAATAGACACTTCTCCAAAAAGGACATTCAGATGGCCAGAAGACATATGAAACGATGCTCAACATCACTAACCATTACAGAAACTCAAATTAAAGCCACAATGATATATCCCTCACACCTGTCAGAATGGCTATTATCAATAAATCAAAAAAACAATAAGTACTGACAAGGATATACAGAAAGGGGAAACTTCATGTATTATTAGTGGGAATAAAGACTGCTGCAGCCACTGTGGAAAGCAGTATGGAGTTACCTCAAAAAATTAAAACTCTAATTGACTTAAGACCCAGTGATTTCACTCTGGGAATAAATTCAAATCAACCCAAAACATTCATTTCAAAGAATATGTGCACTCCTACGTTCACTGCAGCATTATTTACAATAGCCAAGATTTGGAAGCCGCCCAAATGCCCATCAGTGGATAAGTGGATACAAAAAGCAGTGGTACATTTAAACGATACTACTCTGCCATAAAGAGGGTGGAAATTTTACCCTTTGCAATAACATGGATGGACCTGGAGAGTATTATGTTAAGTGAAATAAGCCAGTCAGAGAAACACAGGCACCACAAGATTTCACTTATATGTGGAATCTAATGAACAAAATAAACTAACAAACAAAACAGAAACAGACTCATAAATACAGAGAACAGACTAACAGCTGTTACAGGAGCTGGGTGAAAAAAGTGAAGGGATTAACAAAAACCAAAAACAAACAAAAAACCCTCATAGACAGACAACAGTATGGTGATTACCAGAGGAAAAGGGGAGATGAGGGTAAGTAGGAGAGGGTAAAGGGAGGTAAGTGGTGATGGAAGGAGATTTGACCTGGGGTGGTGAACACAAAATACAATATACAGTTAACATTTTGTAGAACCGTACCCCTGAAACCTATAATTTTGTTAACCAATGTCACCCCATTAAATTCTATGAAAAAATAACAATGAAAAACAGAAATGGTTCATTCCTGAGGCTCAGCATTAAAAAAGGGTAAAGAGTATATGAAACTATTCTGGCATGTCTTATAAAATTTTTAGACATGTTTAATTTTTATCATTAACCCCTTAATTATGGTAAACACATCACTATTCTCACAGATACTGTCATTCCTTTCAAAGAATCTATTTTTTATTTTATCAGGATTGAGATTCTATTTCATGATAAAGAACAATGGAGAACATACAACCCAACTGCTATTTTCAGAAACTAAATATTCTAATGATTTTAATAAACATATTATCAATTTCTAGCCTTAACTTTGAAGAATGTGAACAGTAAGAAATAAATTCACATCTTACTGATTACAGTTTAGACATCTAAGTAAAGTGCCAGAAACCAAAAATAAATAAACAAACTGCTTCATTTCAAAGGCGCAAGTTCAATTTAGTAGATCAGATGGACTCACTGCACTATATTGCAGGAGACAGGTTAAGAAGTGACCTTGGGATCCTTGCTCTACCAATGTTTCCAGGGCCCATTTCTTTATTGAAAGTATCTCTACTTTTAATAAATACCTATATTACCACACAATTTATATCTTTGCTGATATGACTCTACTTGAAGCTTTTTGATATTTAAGACTATAGACATTAAAATTAAAATTTTTAACAACATGCAATATGCACAAATGGTCAAGATATACTCCTTCCCTTCTGATATTCTGCAAAAGAAGTTTAAGTAACTACTATCACACACACACTCTAAGTTTAGAGACATATTTTCGGAAATTTCAAATGAGAAATTCAATATATCTTAAGTACTTTTCATTATTTCAGATCATAAAAAGATATTTTAATTAATGTGTAATATACAATATATAAACTCCACAAACAACTATGAACAGATATATGCCTATATCAATTCCCTAACTCTTTTCATCAAAAATGTTTCTTCTGGTCATAAAAATCTGATTTGGCGTGTTTTAAAAGTTCAAACATATTAAGCTACGCTTTGCTTTGGCACTAGCTCCCCCTCCAGACCAACCTGCTAATAATACAACTGCACTTAAAAAAATAAACAAGGAACTCAAGTTTTTCCAAGCCATCAGAAAATTTCAAAATTCACCACTTTTAAAGACATTCCAATTCCTTAAAATAACTATATAAAATTTGTAACCAAACCTTGCAGAATATAATCAGAATTAGTGTATTTTTCAATTCCATACATTTCAAATAGAATTGGCTTGTAGACAAACAACTCCAAACGACACTAAAATTTAAAAACATCCTAAAATAAATATAGTGATATACTTTATGGAAATTATTTTGAGCCACTATCCTAATAAACCACAATATACTCAGCTCACTACTCAATCAAAAATATATTTCTACATGTTTCTGCAGTCTATGCAAGTTTCATTCCAGTTGTTCAGGTTCTTCAATTCAAGTAGAATTCTCAATTTATAATGCAGCAAAAGGAAAATCCATGCATACAAACTACCCTCTATTTTCCTTCTAAATTGCCCATTTCTAATTCCCTACATTCTTACATATTAAACTATAAAATCACAATTTCGAATGTTTAAGTTCCCACCTTACTTTTACTACTGTATTTATAAATCAAGTAATCAAGACTTTCTATATGCATTTTATAGTATATTTCACAAGGCTACGAACATACAGGGCCTTAATATTTTGGCATTAACATTTTAGGTTGTTTGTTTTTTTATTTTAAAGAAGAGAGAATACAACTTACTCCAGTATTTCAGTGTAGCTTTGACATATTTAAATATTAATAATCTCTCCAAAAATGATTTTTATATGATGTACCCTTTAAAAGAACTATGCATAAAAACATATTAATCAACAAAGTAAATATGCACTTAATCCCAGGAATAACAAGGGGGGAAAAAAACTAGTATAATGAAACCTTGCCTACAGTTTCTAAAGAGAGCTAAGCCAAACTTCAGTCGGTTATGTGTGATGAGTCTTATTCTAAACTGATAAAAAGCACTTTTGTTGAAATTTGTTCTGTTACCTGAAAGTTTCGGATTATCTACTAGAGATTGTGGCTTTCTAGGTCCACCTTCTTAACTTGGCTTGAGTCAACTGCAAACTAATTCAAATACAGCAAGTCAAATGACACCTCTCCCTACCTTTATCCAAGACCTCAATCAAAAAGTTAATATAGAGATGGAGAGCTGCTATTGCCACCACCAACATGAAGATTGTACCAGTCCCATTCTTAGAGCTGGAATGCCCCAACCTGAAGCTGAACCTCTGGGTGTTTGCTCTGGTGTGGTGGCATTTGCTCTGGTGGTGGTGTCTTACTTATTCATCACCAGAGAAATAATTTATTATGTTATTGTTGAACCTCCAAGTGTTGGCTCTATGACTGATGAACATGGGCATCAGAGACCAATAGCTTTCTTGGCCTTCAGAGTAAAATGGGCAATATATTATGGAAGGACTCACAAGCAGCTTCCTGGTTTAGGTTTCATAATCTTAGACCGACCCAATGCACCAAACATTCTAAAACTCGGTAGGTTTCTTCTATTCATTGGATTCATCTCTGTCCTATTGTGGGTTTTTTTTAACTGGCTAGAGTATTCATGAGAATGAAACTGCCAGGCTATCAGATGGGTTAGAGTGCCTTTTGACAAGAAATCTATGGATACTGGATTTCTTCCTGTTAATAAACTTTTAAAAGCTGTACCAAATTCTCCTATATGAAATATGGAAAAGGATGAAAAACATCTAGTAGAAAACATGGGAAGCATATTGAAGCTTGGGCTAGAATATGGTATCAAAGAGACAAGCTTATCAGTATTTTCTCCTGCTGACCTATACTGACATACCAATGACGTTAAGTGGCATTTCCTTCTCAGTTTTTAATTTCTTAAAAAACATATACTATATTTCTACAACTACTAAATAAATAAATAAATAAATAAATAAATAAATAAGTAAGCAGCTAAAACATGGCAAAACGCGAAAAGCTCCCCAGGGATGAACCCTAACCACGACATTGTCATTGAACTTAAGAAATACACTGCGTCTCTGGCGTTCCGTATAGCTTCAGATTCCAGTCCCCACGGTGAGAGAACAGGTGCTGCGACCCAAAACCCACTCACTCTTGCAGGACAAATCTTCTTTAACTAATAAAGATGGAATCATTTAACCTTCCCAAGTAAGTTTAGATACTCGAAAGCCGCCAGATCATCATTTCCAGATCCAATGGGGGGATGTGGGCGCACTCGTGCCGTTAAGTGCCCAGGCATTGGCCCCTCGCTGGGAGTGGATCCTTGTACGGGTCCACTCCCTGATTTCTAGCCCGAGAACCCCTCTGGAAAAGTCCACAACGCAAAAGCATCCTCCTCCCCGCAGTCTGTGACTGCTGGGACAGAGCTGCTGGAGAAAGGACAGGTAGGTGTGGAGGAGAGAAGAGGACACCTCTTACCCTGCCCCCATCCCTTCTCCTCTTCTCTGCTTCTGCCCCTGCCCTATGCAACCATGGGAGACACAGAGGGCAGCTGCTGTGCAGCTCCATGTCCCGGCCCGGGCGGCGGTCGCCCCTCACCCCCTGCCCGCGCCCTCCCGACCGCGCAAAGGCACCCGCCAGATAGTCCCGAGGGCTCCCTCCCCACTTTTCCCGGAGCCGCTGGATAAGCAGCAGCAGTTGCAGCAACAGGCCCGGAGATCGACTGAGAGAAAAGAGCAGCGACAGTCTCCAGTCACATCCCGGGAACCTCAGCGGATCCCGCGCTTGCTCAGCCCCAGACCCCGAGGCGCTGCAGGGCCCGGCCCCCAAACGCCCCCTTACCCGAGGCGGAGCAGAGGCGGTCTCCGCTGTTTCCCAGTTGCCGCCGCTACAGCCCTCAGCCGCAGCTGCCCTGCGTGTGGGAGTTGGAGGGGTGGCTGGGTGGAGGATGCTACTCTCGACTGAAGGGAGAGGAAGAAACGGAAACAGGAACCACCGCCGCCGCTGCTTAACGGAGCCTTCGGCGCCAGAGAGTGAGGGAGAGCGCGAGGCGGCGCGAGCCGGGCAGTCGCTGACAGCGCGAGACCGAGCGCGAGTCGGGTCCAAGGCGCGCGACCCGGAGCAGCGCCAGCCCCATTCCGTGAGGAAGGAAAGGGGACAGCTTGACTGGGGACTCCGAGGGAGCTGCGAGGGGCGGGGGCCTGGAGCAGAGGGAACCGGGCCACTCGAGTCCGCCGGAGATAACGCGCGCACGCGCCAGAGCGCTTTGACTACAAGAGCAGGCGGGGAAACCCGGGTAAGCGCAAGCGTGCGCGCGCGAATGTGGGCGCGCGCCCCTCGGCGTTCCAGGCTTCTGGGAGAGGGCGCGCATGCGCAGACCGCTGCCACCTACGGCGACCCTGGGGTGTACCTGGGGTTCTCCCCTCCCTTTTCTCGCTCCCCCAACGGGTAGAGTAGCGGCAGTATCCGCGGCCAAGGAGAGCTGTGGACCACAGCGGGGCCGGAGACTTTCAGTAGTGCAGCGTCTGCACACGTGGGCGACGGTTCGAACGTGAGTGTAGGCCGCCCTCTACTGCTTGAAGGCCGGAGGCTGATGGGGCTGCGAGTCTAGCTGGCTCCCCGTTCCTGGGAGCGCCACCTCCAGGGAATGCCATATCTCGACCACCAGGACGGACAGACCCCTGCTACTTCAGCCGTGGCCCAAATGAGCGCGGGGAACTGGAGATTGGAAGCAGGCTCCCTGCCACTTGTTAGGGGTGATTGCAGCTTGCAACGCGAACAGATTATGGCATCGCACCCACATGGGACCAGCAAAGTCGTGCTTTATCTTGAGAGAGCTGTGTTTCCACATTCGCCTAGACAGAAAGATCCCCCATGAAGGCCTGAGTTCGATGCCTGGCCTCTCCCCCACCTGCTGCTAAGACAGCCCCTCGGCTGCAGCAGCCCCTCTGGGGCGGAAGTTTATTCAGTACGGAAAAACACGGGACAGAGGGGTGTGGTGGCTTTTCCTTAGTGTGCTTCCTACCCGCTCAGACTCGGGACATTTGTGGCACCCGAGATGCAGAGCAGTGGGCCGAAGAGCTAACTCACCAGCCGAGCAGCCCAGGGAGACTGAAGACCTGAGCACGCAGTCCGGGCACACAAACTAGTCGCGGGTCGGGTGGGGTGCCACAATGGCCAATCAGACGCGAGCTGCGTGAGTGGAGTATGAGCCGACCAATCAGAGGGTGGGAAAAATGAGCTTCCCTTACCAAACTCTTCCCGGTGCTTCCAGACCCACACCCCAAGCCTGGGATGCAGTACTGCGGGCAAGAGAAATGGTGCCCTAAAGACAGAAGAATTATTTTCCTAGACTTGGATATTTTTAAGTAAATGCCTTGGGTATTTATCCTTGAACAAATAACGGTGGCATTTTAGATGCTGAGTGTGAAAAGGATCATAGAGAAAAGGTTTGAGAGGCAGTGGCCTGACAAAACTCTAATCTGCCTAGTAACGTACATAAATTTACAGTATTTACTGAAACATTTTTAAAGGCCACGAACTGTGTTACAGAAACAAATAAGATACTGCTGACTCAAAAGAAAAAAGTTCCCTATCCCTCAAGAAGCTCGGCTTCTGAGAGAGGTTTGTGAGACCTGTGACTCCGGTATTTATGGGCACCCCTTTAAAGTTTTCCATGAAATAGTTTAGTAATTTTTGTTACTATTACCCTGTAAGGAGAGAAATTTAAGGGAAAAGTGGAGTGACTTATCTAAGGTCAAAAAATACACTGGCAGAGCCAGAATTACGTTCCAGCTTGGCTTAATCATCATTTGACAATCATGGTTGACACCCTCCACTGCACTGTTTATCAAGAAAACAGAATTATGCTCTAAGGTCTGCAGCCTTTGGTTGTTGGAAACAAACAGAAATTTTAGGCTTATGCCATAGTAAGATGGATTATAGGCCAAAGTCTTATCCATCATACTCTACATAATTTTTAGAAATCAGAAGTGAGGTAGATACTTGCTTTTTAGTTTAAACAGCATTTTGAAAAGTATTTTAGTAAACATGTTTAAAGCTTATCTTGTAGAATACCTCAAGATCTCCGAGTTAAAAGCTTTACATTTACCTCAGAACAACAGTTTATCTGGTCTTTATTTTTCCTTTCCAGAATCCTAGGGATTAAAATAGTTATCTTCTCTATCTCCTGCCCAAAATAAAAATAAAAATCTAACCAAGGAATATTTATCCAAGATTTAGTATATTTTTATAGCACAGTATAATATGTATTAAAATACCAAATAACTGGTGCCTCTAGCAGAAACTAGTTCTTCAGTAATTCCAGTTGTGCTCTGCTGTGTCAATGCGCTTCTCAGCCTGTGACAGAACACTGTTACCAAAGCCCTTTCCAGGACATGCCTAGGATTTAGCTGCCACCTCAGAACTGGAAGTATCAAATAACTGACTTTTGAGAACAAATCTTTACACGTTAAGATCAGGCCAATAATGTGTTTACAGAAAATTCAAAACAATCCCAGCATTTAAAAAAAAAAAAAACCTTTTACACTCTCTAGAAAGGAATATTACTAAACCTTTGCTTTTCTCTTGCTAGGTTACGGTAAATTTCTGAAAGTATGACCAAAAGGTTCTACACCTCACTGGCCACCAGAACACACCTCTGTCAAAGGGTGTTTTCTCCACCGGTTCCAGCCTCCCTCTCTGCTACTAGGCCCTCTCACTCTCTATTCTGACCCCAGCTTCCTGCCTGTGCCTCACATCACTCCTAGTTTCAGATATTTGCTTAAGAAAGTAGAAGTGTTCCACGGACTTCCTCCACCCCTCCCTCACCAGCTAAGCTTTAGGCCTATCTTTGCTTATGCAAAAATTTTTAAGTTCTGCTCAGTAAAACATTGTACAGAACATTCTTTATGACATACTGAGAACTACGAGAAACTTCGAGAAACTTCTAAGTACAGTCAAACCTCGGTTCTCGAACAATTTGGTTCTCAACCAAGTAGTTCACAGAAAAAAATGTCTTGGTTGTCTAACAGAACCTCAGGTCTCGCTTTTCTACCCAACAACCTTGTCATGCTGATACCTGTATGATCAGTCATGCATCTTTCAGGTGACAAAGGAGATTTGGTTTTTGAACAAATCGCTTCTGAAACAGTTTTCCAGAACAAATTAAGTTTGACAGCTGAGGTTCCACTGTACATCATATTCTTTTACGCAGCCTGGGCCAAATGCTTACTCATCAACCAGAGCTGCATGCGGGGTTCTTTCAGGTGGGACAAGAAGGAGTCCACCATTAAACAATGGAAACAATTACTACCTAAGTAGTAATTTTATTGAGACATTAGCTAGATCAAAGTTAATGAACTTGAATACTATCACATTTCCAAAGTTGTGAACATTCTTATAGGAACTAGTTTGAAATTTACTACCATTTTATTAATGACTATAATAAAGTAATTGCCAAGGTGTAATATTACTGAGTGCCAGCCTCCATAATAAACTCTTTACCCCCATCATGTAATTCTCTAATCAACCCTTCATGGTAGACCCTGTTATTTCAGAAGGTGGAGATCTGTGGGGTCACAAGGAATGGTTGAGAAGGCTCTTAGGAGGTTCAGCAGCAGCTACTCACCAAATAGGTTTAGAAATTTTCTCATCTCTACCAAGGTAGACCCACAGGATATCAGCCTTGGAAACATTGTTAATAATTTTTATTGTTCTGTTTTCTAATTGTTGCTGTAGTTACATTTTGCTTAGAGGATTCCATTTTGCAGTAGGTCATCCAAAAGACAACTCTTATTGCTATATACAAGAAGGTGTGACTTTGAAATAATTATTTTACCCATTTGGGCCTTAGTTTTCTCATCTGCAAAATAAAGGGATTGGACTAGATAAATTTTAGTTCATTGCCAATTCTGAACTATAATCAAACCAGCTTGACAATAACTACAAAAATGAAATATGAAAAAAACCTATATTTTCTAATTCAATGAATGTTTTAAGTTACTTTTGAGCCAACTCCTTAAATAGAAACTGTCTTTCTACACCCACTCATTAAAGAGCTAGAGCCAATCTTTTCAATCAGAAGAGTAAATGAAGTGCTTGATTCAGAGGCTGATCAAACTACCCAAACTACCCCTCCCTGTGAATAGCCTCCATGGCTAAAGTTTCTTCTCTTTTGGGATAAGGTATCATATAGTTTACACTATTGATTTCTTACTCAACATCCAGTCCTATACTTTCCTTATTAATAGAGCTGCTTGTTTTGTTTTTGTTTGTTTTTTAGGTAACCATTGAACCTCCAGTTACAAAAGGGCAACTCAATTAGCCTGAGTCGATCAGTAAATGAATTCCCTGGTATGACAGAGACTTGTAATGCTTACCCTGTCTTTCCAGGCATATACAGAGATTATATTTTCACATGTACATCCCTGCCACCACCCGCTCCCTTGTAGTTGGTTGGGCCATGTGACTAGTTATAGTCACTAGTCTACAGTGGGTTGTGCTTTGAAGTAATATGTGTGACTTCCAGGTAAAACATTTAATTGCAAATGTAAGTCTTTACATTTTTTACTCTGCCAAAGCCTAAAGACTAGTATTGTTGAAGTTTTGTCAGCCCAGGTCCCCAAGAAAGGACAATGTAATACAGCCTACTTTTCACCCTCATCAAGTCAGGATGGACAGTCTGAGTAAAAAATATCTTTGTTGTTGAAGCCACTAATATTTAGAGAGTTTTGTTTTTATTGCAGTATAACCTGGAACCTAAGTTATGCTAGGTCCTACACTATTCTAATTAAAACACCTGCAAACTGTTACAGTCCTGGAGTAAATTGGCCCAAGCAAACTGAAGGGAAAGATTTTTAGTCCATACTTGGGTGAGGATTCTCCTTCCTACGAGGTATGAACAAGTCAGCCTATAACTGAGATTGCCACTGGCAGCAACCTAACAACCACAAAAGGAACTAATCTTAGAATAAAGTCAACACACTAAGGATGGCAAATGGAGAGAAAAACCCTTAATGATATGATTGAACTGATGGCTATATCACTCCTGAAAGCTAATCCTCTCTAAACTTCTAATTCTGCAAAATAATAAATCTGTCTCCATAACACATAAGCAGAAATATATCTTTATCTTTGTATATCTTTAATTGCATCAGAGGTCTTAACATAGATCTAGCTCAAAAAGCACTGAAAAAATATTAGATGACTTAAAATTTTTAAAATACA